TTTTTTTTTTTTTTTTTTTGATGACAGATATCCATTTTTCATTAAATCCGTCAATGGGACATGACATGAAAATCTATTCATTTAAAATAAATTTTAATTATAAATACAATGACCTCAATACACACTTTACATTATATATTTTTCATTTCTAAATAAAAATTAATTTAAACATTTTGGAGTTTATGGATGCATAAAGTCAAAAATGTCAGGGGGATACAATATATGAACTGTCAATAAATCATAATTCATACAGTATAATGAAAAAAAACAATGCATAGACCTTAAAACAATGTTTTATTACAATTTCCCAGAAAAACAACAACATTATTTTAACATAACTGCCTTGCTTATTCATATTTGAAAAACCTTTCTGGAAAACGTCTCAGGTTACTTGTGTAACCATGGTTCCCTGAGGGGAACGAGACACTGCGTCCTCTAGGGGTCGCTATGGGGAACGCCTCGTCGTGACCCGTGTCTGAAGCCTACATTGAAAAAACACCAACTTGTTTGGCCGGCGACAGCCATGACGTTGGAAGCAGATTTCCACCTCGGAATAAAAAAAAAAAAGTAATTCGGACTTTTTATCTCACAATTCTGACTTTATCTTGTAATGCTGAATTTCTATTTCAAATTCTGAATATTTCATGAAAATCTGCAAGGTATAAAACTTGAAATTCTGAGAATAAAAGTCCGCAATGTGAGATATAAAAAAGTAAATTGTCATATGTCTAAGTACTTTTTGTATTTCTTGGTGGAAACAAGCTGTATTTCTTAGAATTGCAAGTTTATATCTCACAATTCAATACTTTTTTTTCACAATTCTGACTCGTATAAACTTGCAAAAAAATTACATAAAAAAATAAAAATAAAATGTAAATGCAACCTTGCAAAATGCAAAAAGTCTGAATTGTGAGAAATACAAATTGTGAGGGGGAAAAAGTCAATTATGAAAGAAGTCAAATTCTGTTTTTTATATCTTTTTTTTGTTATAATTGCAAGTTTATAAGTTCATAAGATTTTGTACAAGTCAGAATTGTGAAAATAAGCATTCATACTGATCAAGTGTGCAGTTTAAGACCAGGTCATGTTTCTTTGAAACTTTGTGGTCTTTGTGGACTTTAGTAATGTTTGTTTTAGTTTTGTTTGCAGGAGTTTCAGCTGTGGGGAGAACTGCATGCATCATTCCCACTTTAGAAGAAAGTTATTTTGGTTATGACATGGCAAATTCATAAATCATTTAACTTATTTTGCAAGTTTGCGAAGGCCAGCATCACTATTATTGCTCATACATTACAAATTGAAGAAAATATTTTCTATTTTGCATACAAAAAATGAAACCTAGTTTTAGGACCATTAGGATTTCAAGTTTTGTGACATTTGTTTTCATGACAAATAACAACATTTTCCCCCCCAAATTCTCATTATTGTAACGGTTAGTATTTTTTCCCCATTAATTCTCATTGTTGTCTCTCTACATTATCATTACACATTGCATTAATTAATGACTGTAATACTGTAATATTTTTTATTGAAATCTAAATAAAGACAGTACAACAAATACTACCATGTTGTTTAAAAATGGTACAAATATTGCTAGAAATATCAATTTACCAATTACCAATAATACAGAAATACCAATACCAATTTAAATCTACATAAAGAAGGTACAACAAATACTACCGTTTTGTGTATAAATGGTAGAAATAATGGTACAAATATTGTAATTAAAATAAATATTAAAATGAAAAAATATTTATTTATGACAATTGTAATAGGAAATAATGTCAAATTATTAATGGTGAGCAAATAGGCTTCATTTATTTTGATCAAAATATATGTTCTTATTTTATGGGATGAAATGTGACCTGGACGTGTTCTGTTTTGTAAAATTTGCATAAAATCTAGTTCTCCATATTATATTTATCATAGACTGAACTAAGATGTTGCCACAATGCTATTCTATTTATACAAATGCTGTAAGTAATTTGAGTTTGTTTGTTTCTTGTAGGACCCCCTAGCAGTTCTCCGACTCAGGCTCTCCCCACTGTGACCCCCCGGCGACCAGCCCATCCAGACCCCAGGGAACCCCATTTTCCGAAGAACCCTCCCGGAGCGCCCCCTCGCCGGCCGGACAGGCCTCGCACTACCGAGCGCCCAGATCACTACGGCCCCAACATCTGCGAGGGCAATTTTGACACAGTCACCATGCTCAGGGGAGAAATGTTTGTTTTTAAGGTGAGCTAAAGACCCTACATATCCACAAACTTTCTCTGCATTATGGCAATGAGAATTAGATTTCTCATTTTTGCTTCATAGTAATAAAATCGCTAAAAAGTCTAAAATTGCATTTTCTTTATGCAAAATAGAATTTCATTTTTCCCCATTGGATTTTGGATGCAATGTGTCCCAGGCACGTTTTTGACAGGCTTCATGAGATTCACTCAGCCGCTGTAGTGCTTTCTGAATCAGATCAGCTCAAGCGCTGAACCAATAACAGTGCACGGTTCCAGGTGAAAGCCCTGACATGCAGGTGGAGGCCCGCTGAGGCCGGCCTGCTCTCAATCAGGCTTTGTTAGGCAATGGGCCGTAAAAACCCCAGTGCTGGTCTTTGTTACGGGGCAGAGCTCCATAAAGAGGAAAGGAGTCATGTATTTAAAGTCTGGAGTTGATCAGGAGATACATCAGACTTCATCTGCTTTGTGCCGTTTGCGGTTTAGTGGTCGCGTCACGTCATGTGATTTGTTCCTGCATGAAAGAAGTGCTCTCTATGGCAGAGTGTCTTTAATTCCTCTCTCTTTTTATCTGGAACAACACTGTCCACATCATATGATCTTTCACTTTCTTTCCATTAGATGAAAAAGGCTTTAGTCTTGCTGTTGGAGAAATTAGAAGGAATGTACAGTATCTGAAAGAACGAAAAGATGTTTGTTCTTGGAAATGCTTGACAACACATACAACACTAAATTCTCATGAGGTCATTTAGCAAATATGTCAGTGCCAGAGTTAACTTTACTGCAGATAGATATCTAGGGACCAAAATAGCATGGATACTTGCGGGTGGGATGTTTTGACTAATGCATAAAATGTGAATTTTACATTTGTGTCTTCTAAGATAGGATAAAAAAAAGAAAAAAAAAGGGGAAAAAATTTCTAAAATGTTTTTAATATATAAGTGATTGTTGTTAATAATAATAATAATTTTTGCTTACATCTATAAATTAAATTAAAATAAAATAATAATAATAATAATTTTCATTTATTGATGTTGTAAGTAAAAAAAAATTAAATAATATTTTGTATATTTTATTATTTAAATGTAAATATAATCTTCATTATTAAAACATTAAAATTCAATTCAAATCATTTTAGCCGTCTTATTTGTAGATGTGGTGAGCCAGAGGCAGACCTTGGGCAAGCAGTTTGTTGGAAAATATTCATGCGTTTTTGTTACAGGTGTTACTGTTTAACTGGCCACAGAATTTAAGTTATCCATTGGACAACAATCAGATGCCCTTGAGTGAAGGACCACCCAACAGTAATCTGCATTTCCCATGCTTAAAAAGGCAGTTTTCTGAAATAAGGTCCCATTCCCCATGTAACACAGTCCTACAAGTTTCCTCATGCAAGATTGTGTTCCTCCATGGAACAACAAGGGGTGTGTGTGTGTGTGTGTGTGTGTGTGTGTGTGTGTGTGTGTGTGT